GCATGCCAAAATTATTAATGTGCCCATCACGTTCAGTCTTATTTATTTTATTGCTCAGACATTGCTGAAAATACTCTCTACATTCTTCTGAAACTTCGATACAAAAGTGACTTTACTTACAAGCACAGATGACGTTCTCTAACACTTCCCATTCAGGCCCTTGACAAACCATAACAGGCTTCCTGGACAGAGGACCCGATACTTCGTATCCTGGGTTACAGAAGTACCAGCAGATAGTACCCTGAGGATATTTTCCAGCAGTGCTTCTTCTCCTACAGAAGGTCTGGCCATTTGGTGGATCAATTGGTGTAGAACATTGCCGAGACCGATCCTTAGTTTCTATCAGATGGTATAAAATGTACAGTTAACTGATGCATTTTTAGTATATACATAATAACACGATGGCTTCTTAGTCTTTTATCATTATGATAAGAGACATTTGTTAAACAGCTTATCAGGTTATCCAGACAAGAGAACGTCCAATAGTCAAATAATTAATCAACAAACCAAAGATTCTAACCCTTACTTTTGCAATCCACCGATTTAGTGATGTTCCATCGTGAACGTCTGCATATTATTACAGAATCTTCTTTTGACATATGGTATCCAGCACTACAGGAATATCTACAGATGGTTCCTACTGGATACGCGTCTTCTATTGCTCTTTGGTCACAATGAATCTGACCATGGTTTGGAGATTCTGGATACTGACAATGTGGTTGTATACTTAGAGCTCTTCTTATTGCTGGATAAGGGAAATAAAATATGTTTTGGAGCTTGGATTTTAAAACTAACACCCTAAATTCCTCGGTAAAAAATCCAGCATTGTGAGGGACTTACTATCAATTTCTAATAAATTAATCATTGAAATATACTAGCAATTGTTACAAAAAAGAGAAAGACGTTTGGCTGAAAATGAGGAAGACACTGAACCAGATTTTCTATTTCTATAACACCCAGCACTAAACAACAATTACCTGGAACATTTTTGACAAGTTTTACTAAGTACTGAAAAGCGACTTATAAGCATATTTCTCTGCTTGGAGTATCGAAATAACTTATATCATTTACCAAGTCCGGTTAAATTTGATCTTCTCTTTGTCACATGAATTTACAACACATACGAATTTTTTCCTCACTTTCCTGCAAATATTTACATCCTATCCACACCAACTAGTATTAAGGAAAGGCTGTGATCTGTGGGAGACCAAAGATTGGCCTGAAATGATACTTTTATCTACCAAGTTTATTAATGTTGTTAGTGTCAGTAATTTCTAACTTGCTACCTGTTATTATTTACTAACCATCTTCTTTAGAAGTATGGTATTAATTTTATCACGACATTTATTTGGGTGGCATTTCACATCTTTACATAATATTTTGTTACTGGCGTTATCGTCACAAGTTAGCTAAACACTAAGGCCTATTTCTCGATTACAGTAATTTTGTTTTCTGGGTTACAAACTACTACTTTCTATTAACATAACCACTAATAATCACAACGTATTGCTTTGACTAGCAACTATATTTACCAATACAAAGTGGGGGTTCACTCGTCCACCGGGGTTTTTCTACGTCGTTCTTCTTACACGTAGCCGAAGAATTTCCCACCATATGGAAGTTCGGTCTACACCAACAATATCGATTGGACTGGTCGGTCACCGGTTTGTAGAGGTGAGGGATCATTTTATCATTAAACAAAAAGGGCTGAGGATATAAAAATATTGAAATTTCTTGTGAAGAAAAAAACCTAGTGCAAATAGAAAGAATTCTGAAGCATTATCTTCTATTTTACGACAAAAATGCACAACTGATTCTTATATACTTTAGCATAATTATGAATGATGGAATTCTCACAACTTATATTGACCTGAAAGTACCCTCTTTATAAACTTGACACATAAAAAGGCAGCCACCTTTTATTTTAAGAAATATGATTGGATAGTTAAACTTTTTTCTCTTCACAGTCCAGAAGTGTCCTTCACTAACTGTCCCAGAACACGGAGTTCTAAGGTGCACTAATGAAAGGAACTTGGGCAGTATCTGTAGGTTTGTCGGTCATCTCGGCACGTGACCGAAACACTTCCAACGAGTAAGTAGTGTTTTCTACATGAAAACTGACAGGTACTTCCTATCGCTGATCCATTAGAACACAGAACGAATCCTTGATCAGGAGGCCTTAATGGTGGACATTCTGCAACTGTTATTCATATTAATTAATTAAATGTTATATCACTCAATTTTAGGTGCAAGCTATGCTATACATAAAATAATAATTCACTCTTTTTTTTTGTACACCATTCACTTTCAATCTATAAAGATTCATTTCTTTACGAAGTAAGAACTAAATTAAACATTAGTTTTGATATCTATGAAATTAATTTCATTTTTTCCTTTACTCTTGTTTCTATTTAACCATTTTTATTCAAACCTTTTGTGTTATAAGATAAAATTGAAAGACAAAAATGGAAACACAGAATTTCTTATCTACAATCTGCAGAATTCTGTAGATGTACCAAACTCATGCCCGGCATGGCCAGGTGGTTAGGGCGCTCGACTCACAATCTGAGTGTCGCGGGTTCGAATCCCCGTCACACCAAACATGCTCGCCCTTTCAGCCGTGGGGGCGTTATAATGTTACGGTCAATCGCACTATTCGTTGGTAAAAGAGTAGGTGGTGGGTAGTGATGACAAGCTGCCTTCCCTCTAGTCTTACACTGCTAAATTAGGGAGGGCCAGCGCAGATAGCCCTCGTGTAGCTTTGGGCGAAATTCAAAACAAACAAACTGAATCAACGTTCTTCAGAAAACAAGAAGAATGTTACTTGATATTATATCAAGTAACCAGAAATGATAGAAACTTTAATGTTGTAGCTGTACTTAACAAGGTCCCCTTTAATGTTGTAGCTATACTTAACAAGGCCCCCTTTAATGTTGTAGCTTTACTTAAAAAAGGCACCTTTAATGCTGTAGCTTTACTTAACAAGGTCCCCTTTAATATTATAGCTTTACTTAACAAGGTTCC